GTTTTTCGGGTTTAATCAAGATTCAGTTCCCAATTAGATCCAAAAATACAAAATATTAAAGAAAAGCTATATAGATTAAATTCATCTGCCTTCGATCATCGAGGAGTCAACATCGTTTTAATGGATGAACCGACGGCACATAGAACCTTAGGTTTTGAGAGGGTGATGGAGATGAGGACAACACTGAGATCCTGATGGCTAAAATAAAGATTGAGAGAGATATTACTGAGGTGTAGCAATGACGGAAGTGTGTTGGTGGCCGGTGGCGGTAGATGGTAGCAAACAGCGCATCATTTGAAGGGGGTGCTTCGGTGTCAGAGACGTAGGCGGAGGAGGGCGCGGAACCTTAACTGGGTCGGTGGGAGAAATGAGGAGTCTGAGATAAGGAAGGGCATCTGGGTTTTCTGGACGACGGAGGTTGAAGAGGGCATCTAGGTTTTCTGGATTTGATAGAGGAAAGAAGGGGAGCATGTTTGAGAGAGATGGCGATGGTGAGTAGTTGAAGGCAACATCGTGTTGACTGAAATGAGATAGGAGATTCAATATAGAGTGTACATCTTGTTGACCGATTCCATTGGCTGAATGTGAGGAAATACCCCATTTCAAAAGTTATGTTGACTCATTCTAGTCAAAAAGTATGATTTGTTTTTTAAAATTTAAATCCTCTATACTGGATAAGATAAGGATGTAGGTTTGAATGTTTCAATATTAATTTTATATTTGTACTTAATGCATTGTATTTTGTAATTTGTTGATAAATGTTTGTACATTCAGCTTAAAGGTTTGGACGTCTTAAATCTATTTTTAGAAATAGTAAGGTTTGTATAATAAGATAGTATATATATATATATATATATATATATATATATATATATATATATATATATATATATATATATATATATATATATATAGAGGGAAAAGTTGAACAGAGAACCATAATTATTGGTTCTCCAAGGAACCAATTTTTTTTCTTCAAGTTCTAGAGCTTATTCTTTATCGGAAAAAAAATCTAAAAATATCAAAATTCATAACATAACATTGTGAATGTTAAATATATTTTTCGGATTCATCGTGTGAATTTAGATTCACATTGTGAATTTTCAAAGATTCACATTGTGAATTTAACGATTTTTTTTTTCGAATTTGATATAATTGAAAAAATGATAAAAAGTTATGAATTTCTGTATATTTAGTTTTTTTTTTGATAAAAAATAAGTTCTAAAAGTTGAAAAAAAGATTGGTTACTTATGGTTCTCTATTGAACCTCACCCTCTCTCTCTCTCTCTCTCTCTCTCTCTCTCTCTCTCTCTCTCTCTCTCTCTCTCTATATATATATATATATATATATATATATATATATATATATATATATATATATATATATATATATATATATATATGGACCGTAGTTTTCTCTTTAATGGGCTTATATGTTGGGGTCTTATTATCCATTTTATGGTAGTAACCCAACAATCAATATAATATCATGAAACATAGATAAGAAATGAAAGTTTGGTATATGTGGCCTCCTAAAAGATGATGTAAGTCTGAACTGATTAGATAGAATGCCCTCAATCTCTGAAATCTTTGACTTCACATGTCCACTTCCGGAGTCAATGTTTTCTATATCAAAGGCTTAACAGAAACTATCCGTCCTCCCAACCTCATAATCAAATCCAGTGTAGATCCACCATGGATGTAATGATCCCTTAAAAGTGAAAATTTACCAACCAAACACATAATAACATTTATATCCATCTAAATCCAAATCCATCTAAATGCAAATCCTTTGATGTATTCAAAATCCTACAAGAAGAATCCAAAAATCCAAACGCTCCCTTAAATGCATTTAAGTTGAATTCTTCCCATCACTGACGAAAATACAATCTATCACCTTCTCCGCAGAACATCATCTATTACTATTTAATTGTTTTCACAAACTATGATCCACAGCAACTTCATTTATTACCACTTCATCCAATTCAACACCAAAGCTTTTAATTATGAATATTATATCTAGAAATCTACAAACGCCAAATGGATCTCTAATTATGTCAACTTTCAATGTTTCATCAATCTAAGAGACAAATCATGCAAATTCTTCTTCAAAACATAGCTAAGATGCAGAAAAAACAGGATTCCCTTACGAAGAAATATTTGATTTGATAATCTAAACTACATTACAAGAACAATCAACTACTAAACTGAAGCATCATAAAGTAAAGAATTGTGATAAGAATTTCCTGTAAACAACATAAAATTTCCATGGTGTAATCTGTAGTCAAGAAACTATTCTAAGCATATCCAATAATTTGATATAATAATATGCTAAAGGATACTATTTGAATTGGAAAAAAAATAACAGCCCATTTGACCACAAATGTCAAAAATTTTACGAGATCCAAGAGTAACGTCTACTTTATAACCCTAGTACAAAAACATATTTAGTAGTGAGATGAGTTTTTTTTTTTTTTTTTTTTTTTTTTTGTGCGATGTTGGCTAAAACCGCATTATTAAAATACCAAGAAGTTATTTTCGCATTATTAAAACATAGAACTGCACTATCTAAATAATTTGTTGGTGCGGTTATATAGAAACCGCATTAAAAAAAATTATTGCCATCTATTGATGCGTTTAGATCTAGGCGGCATTATAAAAGATTGAGTTCCCTCCTCATATTTTGGTTCTCGGGTGAGGCTCCTTCCAAATTTTCATTCCCCGCGCCATGCCTTCCTCTTCCATTATATATTTTCTTAATCTAATTTCATTTTGCCACACCAACCCTAACATCATCGACTCCTGTCGCCCTCACCACCATCACTAGTCCTGTCACCCCCATACCCTTCATCACCGATTCCGACTGCCACCACCTCCATCGTCTCTGATTCCGGTCCATCCCACTCCCATCATTTTCGATTCACAACTTCAGGTTAACAACATGATGACTATGATTTCTCTTGGAGGTGTCGACCTCCACTATAATTGCTTTTTCCTTCACCGTCAACCCATCGTCAAGACTCTCAGGTATGTTTCGGATATTATGATTTATAATTTTGATTCATAAAATTTCTTAATGTATGTGTCTGATACTATGATTTCTTAAGTTAGGGTGTGAAAGAAAGAAGGGTTCGGGCTAAGAATCATGTGAAGTTCAAAAGAGAGCACATATGTTTGTAGAGGAAGATATAAATGTGGATAAAACTACAAAAAAAAAAAAAAAAAAGAAACACCCTCATGTCTTTTATCTACGACAATTGTATTAATGGAAGTTTTTTCTTTTGTGCCGGTAATCTTTAATATAACTTGTGTAATTTAACTTTTAATTATAGAGTAAATTACACGAATGGTCCCTACGGTTTGGGGTAATTTACGCGTTTGATCCCTAACTTATTTTTTTAACTCGGAAGGTCCCTACTATTTGTTTTTGTTACACGCTTGGTCCCTACTATTTATTTTTGTCACTCGTTTGGTCCCTGTCTTACCTAAAAAGACTATTCTTTAAATAGAAAAAAATGATGGGGTAGGTAAAGTAAGGTGATGAGAGTGGGGTTGGGGGTGTGTTTATTTAAATAAGTTAAAAAATCAAGGGAAAAATAGTCTTTTTAGGTAAGACAGGGACCAAACGCGTAACAAAAACAAACAGTAGGGACCTTCCGAGTTAAAAAATAAGTTAGGGACCAAACACGCAAATTACCCCAAACCATAGGGACCATTCGTATAATTTACTCTTAATTATATAGATTGCATACATTTTGATAAACTTATATTGTAATTTAGCTTTTGAGTTCCGACCGAAGCGTGGCAATAGATACAGAGGTGGACATCATCTCTAAAAGTATGCAAGATACCGAAGCTAGAGTGGCTACATAAGAAGGCGATGATGAATCTAAACAAGTGTATATCATAAAATTTGAATATCTTCAAAAGGCAGTGTGTATTTTTTAAATGTTTAATATGCTTCTCTATAGAAAGTTTAATATAGAGAGTTTAATATGCTTCTGTAGTTATTATATCAAATTGAAAACAGATACAATGATGAAAAGGTAAGAAAAGAATGATATTTTTTGTTAAATAATTTGAATCTCGCTCCAGATTATGTCTTTATAACTTTTATGATTCATGGGTTGATGTTTGTTGTTTTGTTTCTATATTGTAAGTTAAAGTGTTTTATCTGGTAAGTGTTGTGGTGTTCTTGGATACTCAAAAGTGGCTTTATGGTAGGTGCGATTCTTTTTTTCATTATTTAATGGTACGGTTCTAGCATTTAATAGAACGGTTGTCTTCTTTTATGGATAAAATCACTTTTTTTGGTGCGGTTGTCATATGTTTTGGTACGGTTTTATAACCACATCATTAAATAAGAGTATTTTTTGATGCTATATTTTTTTGGTGAGGTTTAATAATCGCATCTATTAATCATTTTAACCGCATTAACAAAAGTTTTCTGTATTAGTGTAAGCCTTTTAGTATATTTGGACTTTGGATTCACCAAACAGTAAGTGGTTATCAAAATGTCAAAATGGTTGCTGAAACATTCTAATATCTAATACCACAACTTATTCATCGGTCCGGTTCTTGGTTCCTCGTTCACACCTTAATCGGTCTTTGGTTATTCCGGTTCCGGAACCGGTTAATTACATCCCTATCATATATTGTAAGACACACTTCCCAAATTCTCTCATCTAAAAAACCCATTTATACTTCTCTTTAACAAGTTATAAAAGCTAGTCAAAAACCAGCATACTGAAAATTATCATAACATGACATCTTTCCATCCATCATCTTAACAATCTTAAAATATGGAAAGCTAAAATATAAATGGCACACGGTCTAGGAGGTATAGAAAAATCATATCCAAATGAAAAATGATGATAGGAGTAATACTCTTTTAACAATAGACTATAACGTATTACCACGTTACTTATCTAAACTCAAGTATATACCATGACAGAAATTGTCAAGAAGATTAAAAAAAAAGTTTGAAAGGTTTGACGAACCTAAAAGACGCAGGCAAGGTGCACAGTAAATGGCTTACAAGTATGATCATCATAATAAGCAAGAGTCCGACCATCTTTTAGCGGCTTCCCAGAAGATGATGCAAGTCTGAACTGATCACACGGAATGTCTTCCATCTCTGAAATCTTCGACTTCACATATTCAACTGTATCCGAGCTCTCCACTTCCAGTGTGAATGTCTTCCCTGTCAAAGTCTTAACTAAAAGTTTAACGCCACGCAACCTCACAATCAAATCCAATGTAGATCCTTGTTGAATGTTATGATCCCTCAAAGTCAAATCATCTTCCAGTTTCTTTCCAGCAATAATCAAACGCTGGTGAATCAATGGAATCCCCTCTATGTCTTGAATCTTTCCTTTCACATGGTCTCAGATCTTTCCACCATCAGCATGATGGGTTTCCCTGTAAAAGTCTTGACAAAAATCCGCATATCACCTCCTTCCAACCACAGCACCAGATCCAGTGTAGATCCCTGTTCGATGTCATAATCCCTTAAAGTAAAATCATCTTGCAGGTTCTCTCCATCAATCATCAAAAGCTGGTGATGCCTTGGAATCCCCTCTTTGTCCTGAATACTTTCTTTCACATTACCAATGGTCTCTGACATAGACGCCACCAGTGTGATGATCTTCCCTGCTAATGTCTTAACGAAAATCTGAATACCACCACCTCGCAACCACAAAGACGTACAGGTGCAATGTAAATTTGTCATGGACATTACAATCCGCCAAAGTTGTTTTGTCGCCAACCGGATGACATTGCTTTCCGACAACGATCAAACGCTGTTCAATCATTGGAATCCCCTCTCTGATATAAATCTTTTCCTTCAGGTTACCAATGGTCTCTGAGCTCTCTGCCAGCAGTGAGAAGGTCTTCCCAAACGAAGTCTCAAAATAAATAAGCATATTTCCTCCTAATCTCATACTCAGGTGCAATGTAGATTCTTTTTCGATGTTATAGTCTGCCAAAGTTCTAGGACCCTCGAGGTTCTTCTTAGCAATGACTAAAAGCTGATTATCCGATGGAATCCCTTCTATATCCTGAATATTGGCCTTCACTTTACCAATGGTATCGGAGCTTTCAACTTCCAAAGTGATGGTTTTGCCCATTGTCGTTCTCACAAAGATCTGCATCCCGCCACGAAGACGGAGGACAAGATGCAGCGTAGATTCCTTCTGAATATTGCCGCCGCGAAGGTCGAGGCTGAATAACGAGGGTTTTGACCGAGGTTTTGCATATAAAAACAATGTCGTTTAATTAATTATATTTCTAGAGTAATTACAGGAATGGTCCTTTTAGTTTAGTCAAATTCATAGTTTTGGTTCAACTTTCAAATAAGTGAGGCAATGCATTTTCTTGCAATATCGGTCGATTTTTTTTACCTTTCTAATATATTTTCCCCTTTCTCTTTTACTCAATTATAACCTTTTAATAATATAAAATAAAATTAAGAGAAGGCCCTCCCCACTCCCAACCTATCCACAGATCTTTCTTCCCATATATATGGGCATAACCTATATCTTGCAACACATGGTAAATTGAGTATTCTGATTTGTCTATGATTTCCTTAAGGATTTCGCTTTAACTATATGGTTCTTGTGAAGCAACCAGAAAAACCATGTTATCTAATTAATTGTTATGACAAATTTCAAATATCATAACAAAACTCATAAACTTTGAACATGTATTAAATTTCTAGAATAATTTTTGAAATTTGGGATGGGTTATTTATACCCATATATTTTTTGTACCATCTTCATCATCACCCCACCCAATGGCGGACATTAGTGGAGCCCGGGGGATCCCGGGCACTGCTCCGATTTCGGCAGTTAGTGGAAAAAATATAATTTCTATTAGGTGCAACGTTTTAAAATACGAGTGTCACTACTAATTTAGATTTGTTAGGATTTTTTTTTGGGAGTCACCATTACTCAAACTTTCTGCGTCCGCCATTGACCCCACTGCATGAGAGGGGCGCTGTTTTCTCCCCTCATGCCTGTGAAGAAGTGCCAAACAAGAGAAGATTTGTGTGTGAAGGGTTGAGACGACATGATGGTGCTCCACCTCTGCATCAAGCCTTACGCGTGATGGGTGCACCCAGCCCAGTCATAAAAACATTCAAATTATAACCATGTCTAATATCTCTTGGATGTTAGCTAAAATTAATCAAATCCTATTCAAATTATAGCCATGTTATGTCCTATCCTTGCCATTGCCATGACACAACGTGAAAAAATCTGGCCAAATATATACGACAAATACTCCTTCCAAATTATTATTTTAAGTTTTAATTAAGACTACCAAATGGTTAAATAACATCATACTAAGGGCCTGTTTGTTATAGTCTGACTGGGACCGAGTCAGCGATTTGGGCTGACTCGGTCAGACGGAAATGTGTTTGATAATCGCTTTCTCACTCAGAAACGTCTGGCCCATATGATTTCTCGGTCAGACATTAAGATGCTGTTGACTGAAAAAATGACCTTCATACCCTCTCTTTTCTTTCTTCCCATCGTGACCTAGAAGAGAAACAACAAAGAAATTGACCGCCATCGACATCTCCCTCTATCGTCACCGTCCCTCCCTCAGTTCGACTACCGGCCTCACTCTTCCCTTCGATTCGAGCTCCCGCGAGAAAGACATCAAAACAGGTACGTCCTTGTTTTTTTTTTTTCTGTGAAATCAGAAAATTGTCTTTCTCCTCTTCGTTTTTTTTTCTGTGAAATCAAAATATTGTTTTTCCTTCTCCTTTGTATATGATTTGTGAAATCATAAATCAGAATTTGGTTTTGAAATCAAAAATTGTTCTTGTTCTTGAATTCATGTTCATATAGTGGATAGCAATTCCATATGGAAGTAAAGGGAACCTGCATAATAATTGGCATCTACAATGTTGTTTCATTATCATCTTAATTTGGTTTGAAGGGGAACAACAAATCTCAAATGTTGGAGCCTGATGCTGGATACTAGGTTTTCATTGTAAAATTTGGGTTAGGTGTTTTGTAGCTTCTGTATGTGTAAAGTGACAGACGATAATCTATGATTTCTACAGTGTTAACACTCTTACATCAAGTCTATTTATTCAGTTATGCATGATTTCTAACTTGAAATTTGTATTTAGTAAATATGAACAATTGTAGTTGCGAAGGGATATAAGGTATGAAACATGGAATCATATGTTAACTAAGTCCCAAAAACTTCAAGGAGTCAACATCTACAACACTCCTATCGGCTATATCCAGGCTCGAAAATCACCTGATAACCCCTTCTCATCGTCTAATATTTTAAAACCTTGATATACAACCTATTTTTTTTATCTTTAATTCCATTCCTTTCTTCGAATCCAACAAATCCTCAGTCTTTTACCCGTAAACCAGTCCAATGCCAACACTGAATCCTGATTTGTTACCAATAACCATCATACGGACGTTGGCTACAATACTTCAAGTACACTATATGAACGATTTGCATCTAAGATTGCAGGTGCTACACATTAAAAACATCAATTAACAAATTGCATCAAATTCATCATATCCCCATCACATGGATACCGGATTCCCATATGGGCCTATTTTTATTTAATTTGCAGCTTGGGCCACTACCTTTTTAACTACTGCTTTCCTTGTTATTTCTGCATGCAAATACATTAAAACGCTTCCAACTTGTATCAAATCAATCTGATTAGATCCAAAAATCAAAATTTTAAAATATGTTGATTCCAACACACATCTTTCACATTTTAAACCAGTTTATAATCAATACTAAGTTAGAACTTATACAAAACGACTATGGTATTTGAGTCAACCAAAAAGACAAACCGCTCTTGGAATTCATCATCATATCCGTATTTTCAGCTAAAAAGATGTGATATAGTGCCATTAGCTCATTTAAGACATAATAGTTCCATAACTACAATTACCAGGAACACCACAAGAAATTAGGCATAATTTATCACAAAAAATAAACAAGTTTCTACTTTACCCTTTTATATTCAAAAGTAGAACTCAACAACCTAGACAAGCATGTGAATGAGGTTTTAAGATAAATGTCCATGAAGACATACATTCAGAGTTTCGGATCAACAGGAAATTGTCTTCATGATATACCACCAGAAAGACGCAGGAGAAGTTGCAGAGTAGACTCCTATCGGATATTACAATAAGCCATATTCCAAAAATCTGATACCTCCTTCCCATCAAATATAAGTTTCTGCTGATGAGGCAGAATCCCCTCTTTCTCCTTAATCTTTTCCTTCACGTCTTTAATGGTGTTGGAGCTTTCCACCTCCAGCATGACGGTCTTCCATGTCATAATCTCAACATAAATCCGCATATGATCACCTCCCAACCTCAGAACCAGATCCAATATAGATTCTTCTTGGATTTTATAATCCTTCAAAGTACGATCATCATCATCGAGGTTCTTTTTAGCAATGAACAAACGTTGGTGATGCACTGGGATCCCCTCTGTCTCCTTAATCATTTCCTTGAAACTGTCAATCTTTGTCAACGGGCTCAAACATGGCATGATGGTCTTGCCTATAAAAGTCGTAACAGAAATTGGCATACAACCTCCTTGCAAATACAACATCAGATCCAATGTAGATTCGTTTTGGATGTTATAATAGCTTAAAGTTTTAGCATCTTGGAGTGCCCATTGGGAAAATATCAAACGCTGTTGATGCCGTGGAATCCCTTCTCTATACCGAATCATTGACTTCACATTATAAATGGTGTAAGAGCTCTCCACCGCCAAAGCAAAAGTCTTCCCTGTCTGAGTCATAACAAAAATCTGCATATCACCTCCTCCCGACCTCCAAAAAAGGTGCAATGTAGATTCTTTTTTGATGTTATGATCCTTCAAAATTCTACCATTCTCGAGATTTTTTCCGGCAATAAACAAACGCTGTTGTTGCCATGGAATCCCCTCTATGTCGTGAATTTTTTCTTTCACGTTATCAATGGTTTCTGAGCTCTCCACCTCCAGCGTGATGGTCTTCCCTATCAAAGTCTTCACAAAAATCCGCATATCATCTCCAAAACTCAGACTCAGGTCGAATGCTAATTTAGAGTCTACTTTAATGTTATAATCTTCCAAAGTTCTAGGGCCCTCAAGATTCTCCCCAGCAATGATCAAACGCTGTTCATGGCGTGGAATCTGCTCTATGTCGTGAATCTTGGACTTCACTTCACCAATGGTATCGGAGCTTTTAACTTCCAAAGGGATGGTCTTGCCCATTGGCGTTCTCACAAAGATCTGCATTCCTCCACAGAGACGGAGGACGAGATGGAGGGTGGATTCCTTCTGGATATTGTACTCCGCCAGCGTTCTTCCATCTTCCAACTGCTTGCCGGCGAAAATGAGCCTCTGCTGATCCGGAGGGATGACTTCCTTGTCCTGTATCTTAGTCTTCACATTGTTAATGGAACCGGAACTTTCAACATCCAAGGTAATGGTCTTGCCGGTGAGGGTTTTCACGAATATCTGCATGCGGCGGCGATGTTTGTGGTGGAATAACGAGGGTTTTGATCGATGTCTTTGGGTTTGAGTCGAAGTAACGAAAATTGAGGAGATAAAAGGCTGTGATGGATTTAGAGGTGGGAGGCGCGGTTAGTCCAGATTTTGCATATCATAAAGACAAAATTGCAAAAATGGTCCCTATTATTCATTTTTTTGGGTTTTAGTCCAGTCCATGACTTTTTTTGGATTGGTGATCCTTTTGAGGTAGTTTGCTTGTGATTTTGGTCCTTCGGTAAACTGAAAAGACTAAAATACCCTTCTGATATATATTTTATGTTTTTTTTATTTAATTTAAAGTTTTATTAATAAAAAATATGGGACCTCTCTCTCTCTCTCTCTCTCTCTCTCTCTCTCTCTCCAAAAAACCCACCTGAGTATCATCTTCTTCCCACAGGTTCTTCATCTTTTCACCATCGACACACCACCTGCAACCTCATATTTCTTACAGCTCATCGACAACCAACACCTCTTTCACATCATCATTCTCGTCGTCTACCACCACACTTTTAAACTAGATCTGCAAATTAGAGATAAAACTCACACAAGTTCATATTTCTTCAACTGGGTTTACAACATTTTCGTCTCCTTTGAGTGTGTGTTTTTCAGTTTCGTGTGTGTATTTAACTTAGATCTCAAAACTTCGATTGTGTATGGAGATCTGCTTCGATTTATGCTGTTCCTCACCCCTTTCTTCTTTAGAAACCTAATTTCTCTGATGGTGGTGGTCTGGTGGTGTTGAGAAAATGGGTTTAGAGCTGAGACAACTTGGTGGTAATAAAAACTCTAATATGTTCTTGAGTGAAGATGGAGCCCTAATCGTGTGTATTACCGATGATGAACAACATGTACAGAAGCCCTTACGCAGGACTCCTCGTGGCTAAGAGGGTATCATCAGATGAGAACCCAGCAGATCCCCTCACAAAGGGACTGACTAGGGTTAAGCATTTACAGCATGCGAGGCGCATCGGGCTGAAGGATGATATTAGTTTTAATAATTAGATAGCTTGAAACTTGTAAAATGTAATTGACATTTGATGATTAAATAAAAGTTGTTATTTATTTATGAGTAAAGTGTTACTATCTTATGTTAATCGTTTACTATTGTTTCAATTTTGCATGTTTTGACTTCCAGGATAATTATATTATTCAAACTCTCCACAGTTAGTCATACTTTGGAAGTAGGTATTGAATTAAGACTGTCATGAATTGGGTTCGTAGACTGTCTAAGGTGTATTAGACATAGCAATGGTTGCTGCAACATTCATGAGTGCTCATAAATTCTGAGTATTGGACTCAACCCACGCTCACTTGTATCACTTCATGAAATTTATCTCGAGTGATCGTGAGACGGTAATATCATATAAATCTTCAAACCTAGAGATATGAGTTGTTGACTATGAATTGGTTATACATTGATTGTACGAAAACGCATTGGTAACTCGATGTTATAAAACGTGCTTTTGTGCATAATTCAATAAGTAGTTAGTACAAGCATATGAGTCGAAGTTTATATGTTCCTTCTAGGATTAGAAGCGATATCTGGGCCCCTCGATGATTTTGTTTTGACCTATGTACCGGGCCCGGTCAGAACCTAATTGATGTGTTCGATTTAGTTCTATGTCAAACGAATCAGAGATCGAGAAACAATTGTTGGACAATAACTACGACGTTGTTCCATGTATTTGTCCGACTGATATCTTGAGAGCAGAGGATTATATGATCACTTATCTTAAATGGCGTATCATCATCATCATCTTAGTTCCAAGAGACTTTGAAAGAGCTACGATTGCTAGTCGGATTCTGAATTCATATTTGCAACTATAGTTATTAGACTTATCCAAGTGGAAGACTATTGGATGTAGTGTCTAAGTCCATAACTATATTTGGTATGTACTTGACCCGACCCGGCATGGTCCATTTGGGTTGCATGGCATTGCAATATTTGGATAGACCAAAATGAGAGAAATGACACTTAAGGTTTATTAATATATTATAAGTACTAATATATTAATAATATTATTTAATTAGTATTGATCAAGAATTAATCTTGAATTAATTAAGTGATCAAAAGGAGACTAATTAAATATATGGGGTTGATTATGTAAATAATATATTCTTGTATATTGGGCTAATGATCCATGGTTTGTATGGATTGGGTTAAAACCCATAAGGTGCTCCATGGATAGTCCATGGGGGTTACAAACCCATGGATCATGGAATATGGAAAGCCATGACAATTAGGGTTTACACGGTGTAACCCTAATTGTGTCACAACTATATAAAGGCTCATTGTCTAGCAAAATGGGCACTACTACAAGCAAGTAAGAGGGCTAGCCAATTTTTTAGTGTAGTGTAATTCTCTCAAGGTTATTCCAAGAATTTTGGTGTTGTGTGAAGCATTTGAGGCATCACATTTGGGGTGCTAGGCTCACAAAGTCATCAAGGAATCCAAGCTTCTAAAAGGTATGTTATTCTACTTGAATTTTGTATTACAAGTTATTATGAACCTTCGAAAAATCATTTTGCATGTATCTTAGTCAAACATAGATCCAAGGTTTCTAGGTTTGCATGTACACCATAGGAGTGTTAGAATGCTCAAAACCCAACAGTGGTATCAGAGCCTAGGCTTGTTTGTTTGATACTTGATGCAAAATAGCTGAAAAAGTCGAAATTCTTGCTGTCTGCACAGGAGACTCGTCGAGTTCATAGAGGAACTCGACGAGTCCAAGCGTATCTTCAACCAACTCGGCGAGTAAGTTCTTGCACTCGACGAGTTGGCCAGGCAGAGTGCAGATTTTCGATTTTTGCTGGTGGAAATGGACTAGAAACATTACCCTAAACTGTTTTGGTGTTATAAAACTTGTTTTAGATGGTGTAATTCTTATGCTAATCCATTTACAATGGCTAATATCAAAATTCCATGTTTTATATGTGTTAATATGATTCTTGAAATTTTGATATGAATGTTCATGTTCTTATGAGTTTTAGAAGATCATAGGAATTATGTAACTTGCTTGTAAGTATGATTCTTGATCTTAATGGCTAATCATGGAGTCCATAACTTGTCCTCAAGTTATGGATTACCAAAAGTCACTTCTTTAAAAGGGTCATTAAAGAATAAGAGGTTACATAAGAAATGAAGAGTCTTCATTTTAATGAACCATTAAGCTCATATGTTATGAAATGAAAGGTCTTGAATAGTTTCAATACTTGCCATCAAGTTTTGGAATTTGTAAAGTCTTACACTCTAATACTTTAATTTCCAAATTGAACCTTAGAATTTTAAAAGTTTAAAATTCAACCCTTATACTATTATTATATTAAAAGTTTAAATATATAGATATGTATAAGAATAAGCCAGTCTTACCGTTAGTAGGCCTCATTCACGAAGCCGGTCTATAAGGGGGGTATAAGGTTGTTGCCTATAAAATGACAGCTTAATGAGTGTCCACTCTCACCCACCGCTTCCTTGACTGGTGGAGGGTCGTTAGCCGAACGGGTAGGACAAGGACTTTTAATCTTCATTAAAAGCATAATGAAATTATAAAGTAACTACACTTTAATAATTCCCAATCCTAGTTACTTTAGGAAAATGTGAAAATAGGTGCTAACCCATGAAATTACACTTTTTACCTTACCAAGTCGTTAGTGAAGCGCGTGTGGTTAACCGACACACTAACAAGGACTAGTAAGAGTGACAAAGGGTAACTTAATTTTATCATAGATCGGTGGAGCGCGTGTGGTTAACCGGCACATCTATTAAGGACTCTCTATCTAATAAAACTTGTCTTTCTTTCTTTTCAGATGTCTTCCAACACTGCTACTGGCTCAAACCCTACAGGCTCCTTTTCCCTAATGAACTTGTGTGGGAAAATCACTTTTGATGGTTCAAATTTCAATGAATGGATTAGGAACATCAGAATGATTACTCGCTATGAGGGAAAAGAGTATGTCCTTGATAAGGAGCTAAAGGTTATCGATGAGTCAACTGCTACTCCTGAGGAGATTGCTGAGTACACTACCCATGAAAAAGATGCCACTAAGGTGTCTTGCATCATGTTGGCCACAATGACAACAGAGCTCCATAAATCCTCTGAAGATTTCTACCCTTTTGAGATGCACCAGGATCTGATGGATAGGTACCATCAGAGTGCTCGTCAGGAGAGGTATGATATCATTTCCTCCATGATAACAACTAGGATGAAAGAGGGAGAATCCCTCACCGGTCACTTGCAGAAAATGCAAAGGTTCGTGGACCGGTTATTGAAGCTTAATGTGGACTTTCCTGAGGACATGGCGATTGATATCATTCTCCATTCCTTACCTCCAAGTTATGATCAGTTTCGTATGACTTATCATATGAACACGGAGGAAGTCACACTAAGTAAACTTCAAGGACTTTTAAGGACCGTTGAAAGTGGCTTTAAATCAGCTGTTACTCCTACTCCTACTACCACCCCTGTCTTGGCAATTGGGCAGGGAAAGGGGAAGAAGAGAAAGACCCATTCGAAGGGTACCAATGGAAAGTCTCTTGATGGCTCCTCTTCAAGTGGAACCAAGAAAGGTTCCATTCCTCCTTCTTCAAACCCAAAGGAAGCATAATGCTTCTACTTCCAGGAAAAGGGGCACTGGAAACGAAGCTGCCCCAAATACTTGCAAGTTGTAAAGCATGGGAAAGTTAAACCCACCCATGCAGGTATTTACACTATATTGTCTAATAACTCATTGAAAACTAACTCTTGGGTGCTTGATACAGGTTGTGGTATTCACATTTGTACTGATTTTGCAGGGCCTAAGAAGAAGTGAGAAAGTGGAGCACGGGAAGATAAACTTAATCATGGGGAATAGGAAAGCATCACCTATTACCAAGATAGGAGTTTATTCTTTATTGCTTAATAATGGGTTAATGTTAGATTGAATAAATGTTGTTACTCGTCTGAAATGGCGAGACATATTATTTCCTTTCATGG